ATAAGGGAAATACGAACTTTTACAAAACTGTTGGTGGCAGCACTTGTGTATGCTGGGCCATTGGCAATTTTAAGTGTTCATGGGCAGCCAAGGGCACTACAGGCATCCAGTAAACAATGACATGTTTAGCTGCATCACCAGTGCAGGCAGGAACAAAAATGAATCCTGAAGAAGTGTCCATTGAAATGTAGACCCAGCATAAATAACCAAATCCAGGAATGTGTGTGACATCCATCTGCCAAAGATGATTGGGGTGAATTAGGGATTGGCTCCTGTAGAAGGACTCCTGCAGAAAGTGAGGGAAGGTGTATTATACATGAGAAACATTTTTTAAAAAAATGTATTTGGTACAAGGTCTCACTACCTAGCTCAGACTGATAGTGATCCTCCTGTCTCAGCCTCCCAGCACTGGGATTACAGGTGTGCACCACCACATCTGTTTTGATGGCTGGTATGGCACTCCCAGGAACCTGAGGCTGGCACAACATGTTGTACCAGGTATCAAACATAGGTCCTTATACTTGCCAGGCAGGTGCTTAGACTGCCAAACTTTCTCCCATCCTAGTGGCAGTTTTAATGTGGCACAATACACTATAGACATAAGCACTATCTGAAAAGAGGTTAATTGGAGTGGATGAATGATCTTGCAGGGCCCATATGACTGCTGGTAATTCAGTCTTTTATACAGAAGAGAAACCTATTTTCTGTATTCTGGAAGAGGAAGCTGTTACATCAACTCTCCTACCCAAAAGCTGACCCCTGTGTGAAGTTGGAAATGCCCCCCTGCTACGGGTACTGAACTTATTTTTGAAGGGAAGGCAAAGGGTGTGAGGGAAGCAAATTCAATTAATTTACCTGAAGGATAGTGACAATCAATAACACCAGGAAGTTAGCCAGTGCAGACTGCCAAAAGAATGAAAATTACCATAAAGATTTTTGTTGGACTGAAGAAAAGGGAACAATGATAGTTTGCACCTCATGACAAAGGGTTGCATTGCACGCATTCATCCACATGTGATCAGTTCTGCCACAGCATTATGACAAGGAGTAATAGTTTTATGTGGAGTATGTGGCATATGTAACTATTGTAAGGGACCCCAAGGCTGCCAAAGAACCCCAGTGAGCACATGCTGAGTTGGGAAAATAACTAAAAGCATTGGCAGAGATGGGTCAACTTTAGAGATCTGAGCATTAGAAAGAGTCAGATTAACTATCTAAGGCAGTTCTAACCTCTGTTGTGTTCTTTTAGAAGTAGGGGCTGAGTCTCCCTTGAGAACATAGAAGAGAGGACTTAAATCATGAGTAGTTGCTTAAGAGCTGGGTGGAGCCAATCAGTGTTACCAAGTAAAGTCTGAAAATCATTTAAGGTTGTAAGATGTTTAACCTGGATCTGAACAGTTTGGGGCACAATGTTTCTGTTGAATGAGGTGTCTCAAATATGAAAAGGGTGTCATAGTTTATACCTGTTTGGTGGCTATCATGAGACATCGTGAAGAGTATCATCTAATTGGATAAACATTTGATGTAAGATGGATAGGGACTCATGTGCTAGAAGAATATCATCTATGTAATGGGTAAGGTATGCAGATGGATAGGCCTGTCGTACTGCAGCCACAAACTCTTGGCATAGTTAGACTTCACCATTTCCTGTGGCAGAGAACACCACTGAAAGTGTCACATAGGGGCCTGATTATTAATAGAGGGTAAACTAAAAGTAAAACTTTTTTTTTTTTGTCTTGAGGGTAGAGGGGGATAGAAAAGAAACAATCTTTTAAATCAATCACAATAAGAGAAAAATGTAAAGGGATAGCTTCAAGATTGGGCAATCCCTGTTGCAGCACTCCTGTAGGTTCCATATTTTGGCTGCCCACAAGTCCTATAGCAGTTTCCATCTTCCTGACTTTTTTTTGATCACAAAAATTGGGGTATTCCAAGGGCTATTGGAGTATTCTAGGTTTCCTGCCATCATCTGTTCATGAGCTGACGTTTTCTTCTCCTGAGTGAGGGGTTGCTGATCAACCCAAACAGGGTTATCAAACATTCACGTTATCTTGGACACTGTCTGTGGAGAGGGAGAGAGATCAAAGCCTCTCCTGAAAAATGTGAGGATGAGTAGCCTATTGCCAAAACAGTCCCTTTCAGGAATAAGTGGAAGAAGTTGTTTTGTCCCTTGCTTATTTTTACCAAGCCCTTGAGAGGAAAAGAAAACTTGTTGCAGCAACTAATGCCTTACCAGGAAGTTAGATCTGGCCAAAAATGGTCCCATGTTATGACCCCATAGACTGGGGAGGCCATAAGGAGAGAAATATCCAAAAAGGCCTTCTGCATCCCTCCAAGTTAGCACTATGATAGGGTAAGAAATCTTGCCCAACCACTGTAGACTTGTAGTGGCCACATCTAGAGGCTATGCTTCACGCCAGTGGTGCCAGCACTAACTGCAACAAACATTTTTTTTTTTTTTAAATTTTATTGATTTATTTGTGTGTGTGTGTGTGTGTGTGGCCAGCTCAGCCCACCAGGGGGCGGGGCTGACTGGCATGTGGTGCTGGGGGATTGAACCGCATAAGGAATTTTGTGTGTGTGTGTGTGGCCAGCTCAGCCCACCAGGGGGCGGGGCTGACTGGCATGTGGTGCTGGGGGATTGAACCGCATAAGGAATTTTGTGTGTGTGTGTGTGTGTGTGTGTGTGTGTGTGTGTGTGTGTGTTTTGCTCCTTGAATGCCTTCAGGGCACTTTTGCATGGCTGGAGTGTTGTGGGGATCAACTACAGCAAACTGAGGCTGCCAGCATTGTGGAAGCAGCCACTTAAAGAACTGAGCTAGGGCTGGGCCCCCTGAAACAAACATTTGCACCTTTCAATATTTTTACTTCAATAGCCAATTCCATCTTGGGGCGGTTTTGTTTAATCTGTTGAACCAATAGATGTTAGAAGATCTAAAACCTCTGGACTGCTTTTTCTTATTTATAAATCTTCCAATTTTTGCCAAGGGAAAAATGGACCAATTGAACAACATGAGTGTCTGAGATGATCTGAGCAATGATTTGGGTAGACTGAATGATAACCTTGATTTCTCCTATATATTCAGCATGGATGACACCAGGGAAAACCTGAGACAAAAGTACTCTGAGACAAAAGTCCAGAGACTCCAGTAGGAATAATTTGGGGCCCCATTTTAGGAGTTAATAGGGATCTAGAGGAGAAACTGAGGCCCATGCCTCTGCTGTCTGTTGTCACTTACCAGAGGTCAGACACCCATGTAGCAGGGGCGGGTGGGGCTTGGGGGGCACTGAGGAAGGCACCCCCACTGTTTGATGTGGCTGAGGTGGGCCCCAATGAAAGTTTGCCTACATGGGTCAGTTTTCCACATCAGTTTTAGATCCATTCATTTCTCCAGTGGTCTCCCAGAGTGCTGGGAATAAAGCCATGCATAGCACACTCAGCTTCTAGTGCTGTTTTCTGGTAGAATTAAGGGCTGGAGGACTAAGTGCCACTGGTTACATCCAGGTCCTGGGACCAGGATTCCACATGGATTATCTACCAGATGAGTGGCCTCCTGACTTGCGTCCCTTGGTGGCTCTCTGCAGTTGAATATTTTGTTCTTTATAATAAAGAAGGACCAGCCAAATAGTTCAGCAGATTAAAGCGCCTGCTGAAGCAGAATCAGGGGCCGGGAGTTTGATCCCCAGGCCTGATCCCAGGCCTGCCATGCTGGCCCCACCCCTGGGGCACGCTAAACCAGCAATTGAGACTGGGCATGGGGGCACATGTCTGTAATCACAGCATCTGGGAGGCTATAAACAGGAGGATCACTACGAGTCCGAGTCTGATCTAGGCAGTGAGACTCTGTAGACCCTGCCCTAAATACAAATAAATAAATACAGTAAGGAAATACTAGTGCTGGTCTCCAGCAATGTTATAAGGAGAAAGGCTTACATTTACAGGTCTTGCACAGAGCCTAACACACAGTAACAGCTACAGGTAACTGAGGCTGAGGCAAGAGAATCTTTAGACCACAGAGCCCAGGTGTTCAGGGTCAGCCTGAGCACATGGCCTAGCCTAGTCGCAAAATACAGTTAAGTGTAGTTGGGCATGGTAGTGCATGTCTGTGATCTCAGGACTCAGGAGGCTGAGGCAGGTGGATACTTGAGTTCAAGACCATCCCAGACTACATAGCCGGACACTGTCTCAAAGAAACCAAATATCTATAAATAACGAAAGGAATGACGGATAAGCACCCGCCCTGCAGGAGTTAGCAGACCCCTACATTAGAGAGGCCCAAGAATCAGACCCCTCCAGAGCCTAGCTTGATCTTCTGAGCCTTTTGTTGCCCTCCATCCCCTTTGGGTCAGACTCCCCCTTCCACCTTACCCCTTACTACTTGCCCTGGGCTGGGAAGTCCAGGTGCAAGGGTCACCCTGGAACCACTCTTGGGTCTTTGGCCTTTCTGCTTTGATTTGCAAGGCCCACATGCCCAGGGAGCCTGAGCCCTGTTCATGGGGCGGGGGGGACCCGCAAGGGTGGGGGCCGGGGCGCCTGCGCCCCCCTGGCGAAGCACCCCGGGCTTACATCCCCGGGATAAGGTTGGTTGGTTTGTCTGTTGCAGACCGCGGGGAGTCCAAGGCTCTGGACGCCACCGGCCAACGTGCCCACACTGGCTTTCAAGTAGAATCCCAGGAGGCACTGCCCAAGGCATTGGGGAGGCTGCTCGGTTCTCCCCAGAGCCCAGTGGGAAGTAGCAGTGTTCAGAGATAGTTGCCGCGAGGCGTCAGCGCTGACACGAGGTAACAAGCTTTACTAGCCGGGTCTTTGTGCTCCCGGGCCGGGTGAGCGCGCCGGTGCGAGGCTCATGGGCGGAGCTGTAGCTCGGGCCCCGCCTCACCCCGCCCTCGCCCTCTTGGCCCCGCCCCACTCGGATCAGACTCCGCCCCCACACCGGGCCCCTCCCAGGCCCCGCCCCACTGCCCCGCCCCGCCGGTATTTTTCCACCCGGCAGGATGGGCGCTGCAGAGCCGCCTGCTCAGACAACAGCCGCGCGAGGCCGGGACGCAGTAGTCGCCCGCCACCCGCTCCGCGTCGCCAGCTCGCGCCCGCGCCCCGAGCCCGGAGTTCTGGTTCTGGTAGGCTGGCAGCTCGGTCTGGGGGAGCCGCACACGCACGCCCAGGTAAGCCCGGGCGGGACCTTTCGCTGGCGGGGGTCGCGGTGGCCGGGGCGCAGGCCTGGTCCGGCGGGTGGGGGCGGCATGGTTGGGCCCGGCTCCCGGGGTGCCTGGGTCCCCAGTCTCGCGCTCACGTCCGCCGGCGGGCGCCGTGTGGCCGAGCCCAAGGCCGAGCGCGTGGCGCTGTGTCTGCCGCGTGCACGTGTGTCCCCGAGCCGTTGTGTCCGGACGCCGTCCGGTGCGGAGCGGGTGGCGGGTGGCAGGCGGCCTCGCCTCGGGGACAGGTGGTCGGGGTGGCCACGGAGGCGCGGGGACAGGGAAGGGGCGCGCCCGGGACAGGACTCCCGCAGTCCCGGAGCGGACGTTCGCGTATTCCCCGGGCAGCGTTGGGCCCGGGGACCATCGCCGGGGTGTGTCGAGTACTGACACCGGTGTGCTGGGCACTGTCGCCGGGTGGTAGGCAGCCGGGCCTGGCTATTTTAGTCCTGCCCGGCCTCCAGTGCCACCTCCGGCCGGCCCCTATCCGGGAGGTGGAGGACGTGGTGGCCGTGATCGGGGGTCTGCGGGCCTGAAGTGTACATGAGCACAGCGCCCCGAGTTGGCATCGCCAAGGAGCACAGAAATGTCACCGAGGAGATCTTTTTCAAATTAAAACATTTTTTTGTTGGCTAGAAGGGAGGGGATCTGGTCCAGCGTCTGTAGCCAGAAGGAGTTTATTTTTATGAGAGCGAGCGGGTAAGCGCTTAGCAACCGCCTGCCCGCCTGCCCGCGACCAGGGAGTCATCGCAGGGAGTCATTGCGGTGCGGGGTGGCACGAGCCGAGGGGTGGGGCGTGCAGGGGCGTGCAAGGATGTACTGCGGGCACCTCAGGAAACTGTGACTCTAGGGAGCTGGTAGGATGGTTGGAGGTCGCCTTAGACCTGGATGCACCCCTGTTGGCCATGGACATCCCTTTTGGGCTCAGTTTTGTCATCCTTAGGATGGGCAGGGTATGTCAGTGGGCTGGGGAGGACTGTGACCTTGGGTGATTCCCCAGGCAGTGAGGACGCTGCCCCCCTGCTGTGCGCTGGAGAGGATTGAGCCAGGCTGCCTAAGCCGTGGTAAGCTGTAAAGCCGGTGGGGCTGTGGGCTCCGATTAGAGGACATCACGCGGCCCCAGGTCACTGTGGAATGTGGCAAGGGTCAGGTGCAGCACCAAACCTTTGTCCTTTGAAATACCCTGCACCTCACCCCACAGTGGCAGTCAGCCTCTGTGTCCTCCCCAGCTGCAGCTGCTTGGCAGAGTTGCTTAGCCTGAGGCAGTGCCACCCATTTTACAGATGGGCTGACTGAGGGCCTCCTAGAAGACTTAGCGGGGTATGGGCAGCTCCCTCAACAAGCAGTAAATTTGGACTTGGGAAGTTTGGTTACTGATTTCTGGGGGTACGTGGGTTTGGACTAGAGCCTAGAAAGGACTATTCAACCCCCATGTGTCCAGGCCTTGTCTGTCCCAGGAATGGGAGCCTTTCACAGTCCCTCCAGAGGTCCCAGTTACATGGCAACTGTGGTCACTGGGTGCATTCCAGTGTAGGAGGGCTGAAGTCAGCTGTAGTAGGGACTCTTGAGAATGTGCCTAGTACTGCCCCCAGGACCTGGGTAGTAGCTGGGGTGTCCTTTGTGGCAGCTCAGAGCACCCATTCTGCTGGAGGGCCCAACACAGGCAGACGCTTGAAACTAGTGTGCCTGTGTCCAGTGTTCACATGGTTGCCTGAGCCAGGGCTCAGATCTGTGGGTTCAGTGGCAGGCTGCGTCTGCAAGCCCTGAGGTGGCCTTCAGGAGAGAAGGAGGTTCCATCTGCAGCTTAGCTGGTGATGGAACCTCTGCTGAGGCAGCTCTGTGTGGTGTTGGAGTTAGGGTAGAAGCTCGGCTGTCCAGGAGCTCATGGCTGGGGTGAGGGCTGTAGGAGAGAGACTGTGCTGACAGGGAGACTTGGAGACCCAGCATGTTGTTGTTGAGCAGCATGGCTTCTGAGGGCAGGCTGTGTCGGTGCTACTGTCTTGTGTGGTCGGCCAGGATGGCTCGCTTACCTGGTTGGGGCATAGTAGGTGCCAAGACACCATGGCATAGAGTGGCCGAGTATGTTTATAGAACATGTCCCCTGGGTCCCTGCTAGTTCTGGGCAGGCTTTGCCAGGAGCGAGATGGTGGGGCTGTGGGTGCTGGGTAAGTGGCTTGGGTTTTATCTGGAGGGCAGCAGGGATAGAAATAGGATTCCACAAGGTTTAGGGACAGCAGGGCAGAAGCTGTAGAAGCCAGGAGCCTGGGGGCACCCGAGAGAGCCTGGTGCTGAGTGAGGAACTGGGCAAGGCTCCAGGAGATCCGGGGTGGCTGGTGGGCAGGGCACGGAGCGCATTCTGTGCCAGTGAGTCCTGCCCTGAGCGCTTTCTGTAAACACGGGGCGCGGCCTGAACATGCTGTTTAACAGGTACACAGGCCATTAAGTCCCAGCTGCGGCCTCGCTGGAACCCGTCCTGGGCCTTCAGAGCGTTACTGACAGGGCTATGGGGTCACCTCCCACTCCACCTGGTCTCAAGCTGCATCTGGACGCTAGAGCAGTCCAGATGGAGAGTGAGGATCGCTTTTCTGTTCCAAAACCAAGCCCTGTAAGCTGTAAAGGTGTCGCGGTAGGGAGCAGTGTGGCCAGGCATTAGATTCATCTGGACAGGGCACAGTGGCCCACCTGTGCATGGCCTTTGTGATCCCAGCACTGGGGAGGCTGACGTAGGGAGATAGATGGTGGCCAGGAGTTTGGGGGCTATTCCTGGCAACCAAAGCCATCCCTGGTCTCAAAGAAAAATAATTATCTGGTAGACTTTAAATCAATGGAGGTGGGACTAGAGTCTGGGAATATGTATCTTAAAAGTTTTGTGTTAGGAAATTTTTCCCCCCATTGAGGTGGCGTTTTCTCTCTGCTCCCCAGGCTGGGCCTGAGCTCCTTGGCTCCAGTGTTCCTCCTGCCTTAGCCCTGACCCCAGAGCACTGGAACTGCAAGGTGTGTGCCCCTGTACCTTCCTGGACTGTAACAAAGTACTGAGGTGCTAGACGGTGTGCACAGTGTCAAGCAGGCCAACCCCAGGCTTCATCCCAATGCACACATAGATAAATAAGTAAAATAAAACATGAGGTACCTGGGGTCCCCATTCCTGTCCCCGCTGTCCCAGCTCTCATTATCCACAGTGAAACCCGCAGCCTAGAGTGTTAAGAGGAAAATGGCAGGAAGGAGGACTCCTATGTATGATTTTGGTACACATATTATAGCTGTTCTGTTTTATTACCAGCGACGTTGTTAAACTTGTAGGGTCCTGATCTGCCAGCATTGCGGGCTGTGTATGGAGGGGAGACCCTAGGTAACTCTCTCTTGGGGTCACTCCGAGGGTGAGGGGCAGTGTGGTTGCTGCAGGACAGTTTCACAGGTCAAGCTGCTGATGCAAGCAGGAGTCTGTTTTCAGACATGTTTTCATCTGTCTGGGAGTGGAGCTGCATGCATGTTGACTCATGAGAAATTGCCAAAAGACTCACATTTATTTATTTACTTATTTGTTCCAGTTTTTTGAGACAGGATCTATGTAGCCCAGACTGGCTTTAAACTAGTGATGATCCTCCTGCCTCAGCCTCCTGAGTGCTGGGATTGCAGGTGTGTGCCAGTATACCTGGCTGAGAAGATTTACTTAAATTTAAAAAAAAAAAAAATCTTTTATGTATTTATTTGGTACAGGGTCTCACTACACAGCTCAGACTCATAGTGATCCTCCTGCCTTAGCCTCCCCAGTGCTGGGATTACAGGCATGGGCCACCACATCCAGTTTTGGGTGCCAGCTCGGCTGCACAGCATGAGTGCTGGGGAATTGAACCTAGGTTCTTGTGTTTGCCAGGAAGGTGTTTAGACTGCTGAGCTATCTCCCCAGCTCCGAGAACATTTACTTTTAATCACATAAATAATACACCTCAAGTGTTATAAAACTGCAAACTAACAAGAGATCCTCTCAGCACTGTCAGAAAGGCCTGCACACCCTGCTATTCTGTCCTCGAGGGGTCCCTAGGCCTAGCCCTGTGATCACATCTGGGTCCTATTCCCATTCTGACATCCCCTGACCTGGCTTCTTCCAGACCTGCCTAGCAGGCTGGGTGTCATGTGGTCAGAGCAGAGTGGTGTTGCGGTGTTCTTGGGCTATGCTTGGTCTCTCACCAGTAGACCATGTGTTCCTGGCTCTGTCAGAATGGAGCAACCTCTATGGGCTCTGCCTGTGGGGCAACTGTGGGCAATCTCCATACCCTCTGGCCATTGACTTGCCCTGGGGGCAACAGAGAAGCACCCTGGGAAGGAACCTTTATTTTTTCCTTTTTCTTCAAGGTGGAGTCACTGTGTTGCTCAGACTGGGCTCCAGAGAGCCTCCTGCCTCAGCCTCCTCATAGCTAAGACTCCCCTCAGGTATGCTCCTGTGCCTAGCTGAGAACCCCTGTTTACTGAGCATCTGGCATGAGGCATTGATGTCCTTCCAGCACCCCAGAGGGGAGCTCACTCACCAGAGAGGTGGGTTGGTCCAGCCCACACATCTCCAGGAGGCTGGATATCAGGACTACAGGGGAGAGCCAGATATCAGGACTTGGGTTGGTAAATCGGATTAAACCCTGAGCCCCACTTGTTCTTCTCATGGTGCGTGTGTATTGAGCACCTAGTGTGTACCGACAGTCAAGGAAGGCAGTGATAGATAACACACTCTGGGCTCCAGTAGCTGGGGGGCTGACGGACAGTGCTCTAGGACAGGAGCAGGACCCCAAGAAGCTGATACTGTGGTCAGGCGGAACAGAGAGGAGCTCGGCTGTAAGTGGCCCGTGACCGTTCCTACCTCCCTTCCACTCAAGGTGCATGGAGTCTGAGTGAACTGTTGGGGATGGTGGGGCTGTCTAAAGCACCCTGTCCACACACTCCCTCTCACTAGTGAGCCTGTGGATGCTTCTAGGGGCTAGTGGAACATCCCGTCAGGGCCATCACCATACTGCAGATGCCTCCTGTTGTTGGGGGGGAGCCAGGAAACACCCCACCCCTCTATCTAACCCTATCCCAGCCCCATGCCAGGTGGCTTATACCTCAGCCCTGGCCTTGTGCTTTTCTGCTGCTGTTTTCTGAGATGGGTCTCAGTGTAGCCCAGGCTGGGCTTGAATTTACTGTGCTCCTCGTGCCACAGCTCCTGAACGCTGGGATGGCCAGTGTGCGTCACCATGTCCTGCTCTGGCCCTGGTCAAGACCCCAGATGCTGGCATCAGCTGGTGAGAAGGGACGTGTGAGGCTGAACCACTGCTGGGCAGGTCCCCAAGTGGGTTCTAGAGGGAGCTCCCTGGCAGGGCAGGGAGCTGGCACAGTAGGTGATGGTCCCAGGCTGAGGGTCACAGGATGGGCTGGGGATCCTGCCTCCCACCCTGTGGCTGCTCTGGCTGTGATTTCAAGGATTGTCCTTCCCTCGCTAGATGGCACTGGTTGTTGGTTCTACAGAGAGACAGTGCCCTGCCCAGCAGTTGCTGCCTTGCCAAGCCTCCATGTGCGGCTCCAGCTCAGGTGTCTTCTGTGGCTCTCTAGAGCTAAGAGGTCAAGTTCACCACTTCTGTGGCGGACACTTCCTGACCTGACACTTGCCTCGGAGCCTCTGCACTCTCAAAGTCTGGCCAATTTGAGAACCTCAGGCTTATGGAGCTCTCAGGCCCTTGCTTCCTCCCATGGCACCTTCTGCCTGCTCTTAATGGAGCCTTGCGCTGCCTGGTCAGGAAGGGTTTGCACTCTGAGCTCTGTAATGACCCTGCTGTGTGCAAAGTGTGTGGAGACCAGAGTCCTAGGGCCCAGCAGCCTGCCCTACCCAGAGCCCAAGTTCCTTACTACTAATAAGTTCCTGCTACTCTTCCTCTTCTTCCTCGTGCTTCTCTTTCCCCTCCCCCTCCTTCCCCTCCTCCACTTCCCTTCCACCCTTCCCTCCCCCTCGTCCTTCTCTTTTTTCCCCCTCTCCTCTTCCCTTTCTCCTTCCTCCTTTTCGTCCTCTTGTCTTTTGCAGTACTGGGCATCAGCCTTTGCACTGAGCTACATCCTTAGCTCTTTTGAAGTTTTTGTTTTGACAGGGTCTTGTTAAATTGTCCAGGCTGAGCTCCATGTTGCCGTCCTCCTGCCTCAGCCTCCCAGAGTGCAGGGATTACAGGCATGTACTCAGTGCCTCGTTCTGAGACCTTTTGCTGGCCTGACGGGGGGTATGAGGAGGGAAAGTGCTCCCACTGGCAGTGGGCATTTGGCTCTTAGTGCCATACAGGCTCCCAGTGGTGCCCAGCACAGCACAGAGCAGCACAGTGCTGGTCTCCTGCTGAGGGAGGATTGTGATGCAAATGTGTGGGCAGTCTGGGCCTGGGGCTGGCACTTACTGCATGGAATGTGAAAGCCCAAGGTTCGACCTCAAGCACTGCAGAAAGACAACACAGTTCTGGGACACCAGAGGGTGAGGTGGCCAGGTACAGTCAGGGCTGTCCCCAGACTCTGCTAGTCCCTGACCTTGTGAGTCCCGCTGTCTGGTCCTGGTGCAGGAGGGACACCTGCAGGACCAGCCCCCCCCCCAACCCTGTTAGCCTGCACACAGCCTGTTGGCCTCCAGAATTAGGGTCTGGCGCCCTGAGGATGCCAGGCAGGATGCATGGTTCTGGGGGACAACATGGATTTTTTATCCACTCTGACTAGAAAAGTGTACTTTAGAGCAGACCTGAAGCTGAGCATAATAGGCTGAGGCAGGAGTATCTGAGAGTTCTAGGCCAGTGAAGCTACAGAGCCAAGACTCTGCCTCGAAAATCCTCACAAAAAAGACTAAATCCCCTCACAAAAACCAGGAAAAAAGAGAAAACAAAGCCCCAGGCTATGGGAAAGGCTGTTTATGGCTCCCTACCCACCTACAGAGCTCCCCTGGGGCCTGCTTGGCCCCAGGGGTTTGCGTTAGTTTTCTGCCACACTGGGGGTAAAGTCAGGCCTTGGCCTGCTGCCCCCTCCCCACAGTGCCTGTTGCCTGGTGCTCAGATTGGAACAGTGCTGCTTCCTTGGGTTTGCAACTGGGTGAGCAACTGATGACCACCCATCCTGGCACCACATAGTCTCTCCTGTCACCGCAAAGTCCCTCGCTCCACTGGGCTCTTGTGTCTGGGCTGGGCCACTGCTGCCTTCCTGGGCAGCATGTACCAGCTGGGGGAACTCGGTGTCTCTGAGCATGAAACTTATATGTCTGCAGAGAGGAACAGAGGTTGCCAGGCCTAATCTGCCACCTGGGTGCTATCCCCTGCATCTTACTGCTTGATGACTGTGACATGTGCGTCCTGCCGAAAGATTTGTCAGGACTCATTCAGGACAGAACCTCCAGGTCCTACCTTGTTTGCAGCCATGTGGAGGCAGGGGTGGGTGGGCGGTCTGGGGCTCTCTCTCATGTTTTGTTTTGTTACCTGACTTCAAGCCTGGGAACTGGGTCCAGGAAGTCCCAGTGGCTTAGTCACATCATGCGGCTATGACAGGATGATGAACTGAAGTCATGATGACAACAAGTGCTGGCCCTGGACTGGAATCAGACTCACAGTCTCTCTTTTCATGCGTCAATGGGGCCCAAGGCCTCATACATGCTAGACAAGCAGTCTACCTTTTATTTTATTTTGTGCTAAGTCCTTGCTGTGTAGCTGAGGCTGGCCTCGAATTCAAGGCGATCCTCCTGCCTCAGCCTCCTGGGTGCTGGGGTTGCAGGCATATGTCATTGTACCTGGCCATTATCTTCCTATCTTATATGTGGAAGCCCCGATCCTGGCTGAGACCAGGTAACTCCCCCAAAGTCCCAGGCTGGGAGCTGGCAGGGCCAGGCCCTGGGCTGGTGCCATGTTGGAAAGGCTGCCTAGGGGAAGCCTCTTGCTGCTCCCGGTCCTCAGTCCAAAAGCCACAGGAGACTTTACGGCAGCCAAGTAGGATATAGGATGCATGCTGCAGAGGCTTTGGCGGGCTGCCCCAGATTTGGTTAGAGCCCTCCTCCCTGCTGGGTCAGGTCGCCTGCCATGACCTGGTGCCTGACTCTCTTCATACCCCATGGTATTTGGGGGCTTTGGTGATGGCAAGGGGCTATGGCCAGTGCATGCCTGCCTGTTCCCAGCAGGCACCAGGTGTAAGGGGGGGTGCCCATGTTTCAGCAGTAGCTGGTTATAGCCCCACCCCAGGCTGCTGCTGGTCCGTCCCTTCACGGGCTCCCCCCATCCCATTTCTGAGCCAACTGCACTGTGAGAAGCACACCCAGTTGGGACAGATGAGGGCCATAGGCATGGGGCTGCCTGGGCACCACACAGCAGGTGACCTTGCAGCCCAGCACTCGCTGTGCACATCCTCTGCTGCACTGAGTCTGGAGACCCAGAAGAGAGTGAGGTGATGAAGCCAGTCCTATTTGGCATGGGGGCTGCTCCTGCAGGTTTGCTGTGGGCAGAAATCAGCTCAAATCTAAGCAAACAGGAAGCTTAGTGCCTCTCCTCAGGACCCTGAGGAGAAGGCCAAGGCTGAGTACTTCAGGTGCAGCTGCATCCAGGTGTGGAGTCTTGGCCATGAGCTGGTCCGCCTTTGCCAGACTCCATGTCCCTCTGTGCCCTGTGCATTCTCTTCTCTTCCACTGTTCTCTGTTGCATATATGGGAGGCACTCTCCAAAGCCTGGAGGGCATCTTGGCCATTGTTCCTGTTGTCCAGCTGTGGTTAGTGTGGTCCTGACTGGGGGAGGAGGGTAGTGCTTTCTGAGGGCCATGGTGCCATTCTCTGTCCTGCAAGAGCCACCCTCCTTGGTGCCCTTTGGGACTGAATTCTTTGTCTCCCAACCTACCTAGTGTCACTGGCTGCACAACCCCTGGGATGGATGAACTCAGCAGTGCCTTCATTCCTGGTGCCAGCTGTGGGATCTGGCTGTAGCGGGTGCCTATGGACTGTTGATGCAGTGTCCACCTGCAGCCCAGGTGGGAAGCAGAGCAGGGCAGGCTGAGGAGGAGGACAGTACCCAGGGCCCACATCCTCCCAGACCCATTATTCATGGCGATGGAGACTCCAGGGCTGCAAGGCCAGTTCCACATGTGCCCATCTTCAAGTTCTGGAAATCAGGAGAGGATCCTGCCTTATCTAACTCCTCCCCACCCAAGGGGTTTTGGAAAACCAGAACACAGAGTATGAAAACCCAAAGCAGAGCTACACCACATTCCCCGAGCCTGCCAGGTCTTCTCCAGTCCTGGGGAGTGGTGGCCCCTGGCTGCCTAACCCTGACTTGGAGATCAATATGTGAGGGAGGGTATGCATGAGTGTGGGTGCATACCACCCCCACCAGCCACAGACCCCCCTGACAGTGTCCCCTCCTCTGTGCAGGTCCAGATCCGGAACCGCAGCCCCCACTGAGGAGCCTCCTGCCTGTGAGTAGTCGCAACATCTCCGTACCCTCAGCATTTAGGGATGGCCCTCTGGGAAGGTGGGCCTGTTTACTTATTCGGCTTGGCTGGCCTTGAACTCAGAATGATCCTCCTGCCTCAGCCTCCTGAGTGCTGGGATCACAAATGATGTGTACTATCACACTCAGTTCCGAAATTTTTTAAATCTTGAAAGCATTGGGGGTGCTTGCAGCGTAGGACAGTGAATGGCTATAGCCTCAGTGCACTTCCTGGTCTTGGCCCTAGCCCCACTCACCCCTCTCCTCTGTGTTCTGTGGAAACTCTCAGGCCCAAGGCTTTCTGCTGAATCACTGGGCCAAGAGCAGGCGTGGGCACCCCTTTACCCAGTCCTGCTGAGTTTCGCAAGAGTAGAGCCATTGTTTTATGGGCCCCAGCCAGGCATCCTGGAGTCCGCTATCTAATCTCCAGCCTTCACAACTTGCTGATTACCTACAGCATTGCTTGGTTTGCTTTCAGTTCAAGGTCACGGGTGTCTTTAATGGCCTCTTCAGCTGATGTAGTTGATTTCAACCCTGGCAGGTCACCCTTTCATCCCCACCTGCTTCAGGAAACACCAAGATGTGGCGTGCGCAGCTGCCCAGCTCCAGGCCTAGTCTAGGTGTTCCACATTTCTGGGCAATGTTGTCCTGTGTTTAGAAAACAACAGCCCCTGGGTGTAGTGTCACTTGTCTCTCTTCCAAGCACTGGGAAGTTGAGGCAGGAGGATCATTGTGAGTTGGAGGCCATCCTGGACTACATAGTGAGATCCTGTCAGGGCTATGTCACTAGAGGTCTGGGTGCTGGCTTCTCTAGAACCCACTTAGCTGGAGGGGTGGCTCTTACACTGTTGGTACTATGGCTGGGCACTGCTATAGCCTCTGCAGACTCTGAGAGCTGGGCACTGATGCCGCCTGCACAGCAAAGGTGAGAAACTGAAGCCTAGATAGGTGATTGGCTCTTCCAATGCCATATAGCCCTTGGGAGTTAAACCTGGAGTTCTGATCTGGAACATACAGTGTGAACTCCCAAAGCCTCAGGAGGTGCCTTCTACCATGTGGCTAGAATGTGCATCTACTTCCAGGTGGAGCCTTCTGCGGGGCTGAGACTTCCCATACCTCCTCTGTACCCCTTAGAGCCTGGGTACTGGCATAACAGGCCTGTACCACCAAGCCCAGCTTTGACAAAGTCCTTCACCCTAGACATGGCAGATGCCAGGATGACCACACACTGTCACATGAGACCCAGTCACTCCTGAGGTGTGGCCCTCCTCCTGAAGGTGATCCTCTTAATGTGTGCTGGCTAATGGCTTGAGGAGCCAGGAGCTAGGAGGTCCCATGTTTGAGTTCCAGCCCCAGGGTAGCATCATAGCCTCAACCCCAGCTCCTGCTGCTGGGTGACCTTGAGCTCAGTCTCTGAGTCTATCCAGTCTCACTTTTCCTGCCTATGAAGTAGGCCCACAGAGGGCCCCCATGGGCACAGAACTTGGGTGGGAATGGGGACTGGACACCATTGCTGTCTGAGAGCGAGGTAGCCTCTTTCATGTGTGGACACATAAGGGTCACATAAGGGCTAGTTTTGCTCTCCCAGATGCCTGGTGGCTTCAAGATGCTCCCTGCTCTCACTGAGTTGCTCAAGTTGGGCTTGGACTTGGGGTGCTCTTGCTTCAGCCTTTCTTTGGAACAGCTGAGGTTGCCAGATCCCCATACCCCACTTCTGTGTGTGTGACAAACCTGCCACCTCCAGCCAGCACAGCTGCAGGGTGACACAGTGATTAAGAGGGCTTGCTGTGTTATAAAAGCAGCACATCGTTCATACAGAAGATGCAGAAAGGGGCTAGGTGCAGCTCAGCGGTGAGCATGGGCAGGAGTGGTGTGCAGGGCTTGGAGTGTGCAGGGCTCCAGAGTCCAGCGCAGCACCACAGAAGAGGAGAATTTAGGAGGCACTGGAGAGTCTAAGGAGAACGGAGCTCATCTGTGTTCCCACCACCAGAGATAGCGGTAGTGTTATTTAGTGCACGTTATGAGAAGCCTTCCTTTTTTAAATTTAGTATTTCAAGATGGAGTCTTGCCACATGACCTAGCCAATCCTTAACTCCTGAGCTCAAGCAGTCCTGCCTCAGCCTCCCGTGTAGTCTGGGGCTGCAGGGCACCTAGCCAAAATTTTCATTTTGAAACAGAGCCCCAGCATGGATGTCAGTGGGAGTGTGATTTCAGCCTCTATGACATACTTCTGGGTTAAAAGAAAGGTTTGTTGGTTCCTTGACTTGGATAATTTTTTTGAAAAGGCCAATGGCTTTTTAGATTTGTGACTGCGTGGTGTCCCCTTAGCTGACCGTACCCCCCACAGTGACACAGTGACTACAGGCAGCTATGCAGGTGAATGGGGGTGCTGCTGGTGCAGGTAAGACCACGTTCACCAGCACAGCTGCGGGGGAGGAGCGCGGTCTGTGGCCCAAGTTCTAATGTGTTGGGCAAACTATTTATCTAATTAGTCCCTGGTGACAGAATCCACTGGCTGTAACGTCTCTCTGGTTTAATCCCTTTCTATTTTTAATTATAGTATAATTGTAATATAGCACATGACAGATCACCCTGATCTTTTTGCTGTGTTTTAACATTTGGCAGTGCTGGAGTTAGAACCCAGGCCGTTCACAACAGGCAGCACTCCCCACTGAGCTGTACCCGACCCCAGCTTTCTGCCCTGAACTTCAAGGGTACAACTTAGCACTGCGAGTGTGGCCAACGTGCTGCATGTAGCAGAGCGTGGTGATACCGTGTGCGTCTGTGAGCGGGGTCCTTTCCGTGCCAGTGTGCCAGGATACCGCAACTCTAACCTAGCAGGGATACACCTGTACTCCATTCATTGCGAGGGCTCAAACCCAGGCCTTGCACATGGTGAGCATGGCTGCCGAGGGGCTACCTGTCCTTTGGGCATCCGATGCACACTCCCACGTCACAAATACCCAGGAACCACCCCAATTTTCATGCCTGTTCCATAATGTCTGTGGGTGTGAAGGGGGTGTCACCACCACCCAAGGATCCCACAGCAGGCCTTTGAGGACAGAGCATGTGATTGCCTCACTCCCTGCTCTGAGAAAGCAGCTCCTGGTCTGAGACAAGTCAGAAGTATAAAGGGCTGTGACCTGGGCTCCCGGTTTGTGGGTGTTGCTGGGCCTTGCTATGCAGCCTGGAGTGGTTTCTGGGTCCTCAGTCCTGCGCCACTGTGGTGTGTTGCATTGTCATGTGGGCTCCCCTCCAGCTTTGAGGGTTAGGGAGGAAAACACAAAAGCCTTTGTGTGTGTCAGTGCACAGCCCCCCTGAGCAAGTGCGGCCTATTGGTCACTCTGGGGCAAGGGCACTGTCACATCTGGGTGATTCCCTCTCAGGGAGTTAGCACAGCTTCAGAGGTGGCACTCACAACCCCTCACTTGCACATATGTGGTCCTTACGCTTCTTGTCCTCAGGACTCTTGTCAGCACTCAGGGATAATGGGGAGCTGAGGGTTTCATGAGGACCTGGGATGCGGATGCCTTCTGAGAGCAGGGCTTCTCAGAAGGCATCCCTTGCTCCCATCCCCAGGGACGACGAGTCTAGACAACAGGTACCCACTACAGGGCTGATCTCTGTCTCTGCATCCTGTAGTCAGCCCCACCCTGTGGTCAGCTTGGTGACACCCACAAGCCACCTGGACCTTGGCCCCAGCAACCAGAAGAGGTTCTGATGGTGCTCCTGCCCCTGTACCCCTTCTAACTGGGGGATGGGACTCTGTGTGTAAGGCTGGGGCCAGATAACGGAAAGTGGTCACCACCCACATAGAGTGTATGTCCAGGGGCAGGAAGGTGGCACTTGTGGCCAGCTAGATAGCTCGGTGGATTTAAGCACTTGCTTCGGCAAACACAGGGGCTGGGGGTTCAATCCCCAGAATGCCATGCCAGCCCCACCCCTGGGGCGTGCTGAGACAGCAAGGTGATTGAGACTGGGTGTGGTGGTGCACACCTGTAATCCCAGCACTTGGGAGACTGGAAACAGGAGGATCACTACAAGTCCGATCTATGTAGGGAGACCCTGTAGACCCTGTACTAAATTCATAAAAAAAAAAAAAAGTGGTCACCACCCATGTGAGTGTATGTCCAGGAGCAGGAAGGTGGCACTTGTGTCCATGTGACATCCTCAGTAAGGGACACAAATTGGGGGTGTGGCACATCTGTGGCTGCATCATGTCCAAGTGGAGGAGTGCGGTGACCTCACAGGCCTGTGAGGCAGAAGGTGACAGTGTATGGCTCCAAGAGCATGTGGCCCTCTCGTTTCCCAAGTATCCAGCTTTCACTGGGTTCTCTGTGTACACTGGGCCAGGCTGCCAGGTCAAACACAGGTACCAGGCCCAGGAGGACTTCAGCGTGTTCAGTGTGCTGTATCTTGTGTGGTGGCTACTGCCGGTGGCAGACCACTACTTGTCAACAGCTGATACCTGTCTGTCTCTAGGCAACAGAGGGCTGCTCAGTGGACCTCGGGTCTGGTTCTGATTGGGCCACAGGTGTGAGGGAGGCAAGGGAGATGGGACATGTGGCATCATGGGGACAGGGCTGCTGGGTCGACCTGCTCACTCTCACTCTAGAACTGCCTTTAGTGAGTGTCCCCAGGTGGTGAGGGCACCTTGGGAGATGACAAGGTCTCTAGGAGGAGGGTCAGAAGGCAGGCTGGGGTCTCAGTTCTCCTGGTTGGGACGGTGCACCTTCCCACATAAGCTGCAACCCACCCCCATACCCTCCTGTGCTGCCTCCTGGGCTAGAATGTACCCCTCCCGTGCCTAGGAACTGTCAGAGTGAGGGACTCTGCTGTTTCTCATTTGTTTAGCACCTGCTGGCTCTGGCTCCTGTGCAGCACTGGGCTACACTCACCTCCTGCCCATCCCTTCAGGAAAGGCCACCCAGAGGAGTCTAGATACCTTCAAGGTTACACAGGCTGCAGGCTACCTGCCACCACCTC